ATAAATATATTATATAATATACTAAATTAAAATATATATCAATTGATATTCTTTATAAATTAATACATACAACGATACATAATTAATCAGACAAAAAACTATATACTGATGTTGTAAAAAAATTTGAGGCTCACTAATTGGGATATTATTATAGTTGATGACAGCTTGCAAGTCAACAAAGTTATGTGCATATACCAAGTTGGGAGCATGGGATTCTTTGATCACAAGCGACAAGACTACCACTCTTTCCTGATAACGGAGAATATAACAAGAATCATGGAGGTCTATCGACTCTATATAAACCATGGCCTTCGTACTCGGAATATAATAACAAAAGGACCAAATTTAAACTACTCTTTTTATTTCTTTCATCCAAATCTTGTATAGGCAATATGACAATTGTCACTGGTAAAGCAGCGCCTGTGCAACGCCTATCGAAGGAGCATATAAGGAAACTTATCCTTCAGTGCGACAATGGCGATGCCGTCCTCACCAATCAAGAAATAAAGAAAGCTTTTGAAAAGCTCCAAGCTTTTTGGCCCGGTTATAGGGCAAGGAAGGGAGTCGCAGCAGCAGACCATAACCGTGATGGACTAGTGAGTATGGATGAACTCGATGACCTCATAAATTATGTTTATGAACTTGGCTACTCTGGAAAGTAATATGATCAAGAAAAAGTAGTGCATGCTTGTGTGCATGCATGGGTATATATCGTATTAAGTAGTACTAAAATAAAATGGTTGGACCTAATTAAGTAGCAGCATATTATCTATAGGTGTAGTAGAGTACCATGCATATGATCTGTCGGTTTTCGCAATGTCTGATGTTGTGACATAAAGATGCTATCTATCTCTCAATCTTGGCTCAGTTAGCATGATTGAGCCTTGAATTATGTTACTCCATTAATTATATATATGTATATATCATTTGTATGTGTTTGTCTAGGTCTTGATGATTTTGGTTTAATCTTAACATTAAGGACAGAATTAATTACCAGACTTCACATGCAATTGTTACTATTAATTGTGATCAGTAATAAAAAAATGATAACTGTAAACTAGAAGTTTTTTAATTAAAAAAAAAAAGGAGAGAAAGAGAATCTTGCAAGATCCATAAGACTTAGGTCGGACTCCAGTATATGGCATACGTGCTTATCTTGGTCTTGATTTTGCGTTGAGGGTTATATGGGTATGGTTCGGAGGAGTCTGCTTGCCAATTCATCGATCAGGGTTTGTGATTGGTGGCCTTTCCTTCCTAGCTTCTTTCCCCCTTGCGAAGAATCTTTTCTACTCGATCTTCCTCTCTCTGACATCAGATTTGTATTCGCTTTTTGTCTTTGATTCAATTAACTAAAAAAATGAAATTTTAAGATTATGATCAAGTTGGATTTGGAAAATAAAAAACTGTTGTATAGTCTAAATTATATTAGATTGTGTAAATATTAAAACTCTTAGATAAAGTTAGGCCTTTGGTGTTGGGGTCCTTCCTTATCCAACAGTTTATATTTAGCAATTTGAATCTATCAAATTGTTCATCTTTTGTAATTCAATACAATCCATACTATAAACACAATTTTCTTTCAGAAAAATTGGGAATGTAAGCCAAAAAATCAAGAGACTAACACTTTCCTAAACAATATTAAGAATGGACCTCACACATCTTGGTACATTCAAGGAAAATTAATTTCCTTGAGTGCTGATCCTTAAACTTAAACCTTAAAACTAACCTATAAAACGACACTTGTTTACTAGTAGATCTATCCTTTAGGGTTCTCTTTAATTATATTTAAGTCATGAGTGGGATTAATTTGCATGGGTATAAGCTTAAAAACCTTTTACACTATGAAAATTTTGTTAATCTTGATTTTGATGATTTGAAAACCAAATGTGAATTGGAATATATTGTTTATTGAATTGATCGAAAGTTAATTTACTTGTGAATATATGATTTATTCCTAGTAATATTGAATTAATTTTCAAATATTAAGTTTTGAATGTGTTTTCTTTTTGGTAAAAGTCCATTTAATTGCATGATTATATTTCCTTATTATGGGGAGCAAAAAACAGAAAGTGTATTCTGTAGTTGAGGTTCCAACCCCTAGAACAGGGTTCGGTACCCTTAATAATTTTTTTTTTTTTTGAAGTGTTAATGCAAAAATTCTTCAAGTTTCAACCTTTGAAGGTAGGTTCCAACCTCTTGTGCTGGGACATTAATTTATCTATCATATTTGGAATATGTTCATTCCAAAAAGGAGTTCTAATGGTAAAATACATTGATTGAGCATTCTCAAGCTATAAAACCAGATCTAGAAGAATGGAGAAGCATGAAGAATTGAGCCTTTAAATTGAAAAACCAAGAGTGATTAAGTTTCTACTTTGTGCTTTGTCAAATCTCTTATTTTCTTGTTCTCTTTCATTGTAACAAGTGAGAGAGGGATTTGGGGAACCTTGTTAGATCTAGTAATCCATCCTTGAGATATAGGAAGGGTTGAAAGATTTGTAACAAGGGGATTAAACGGTTCAATAGCACCCATAAGCTATTGGGTAACCTTGTTAGATCTAGAGAAAACCATCCTTGTGGAATAAGATTGGGTTTGTGAGAGATTCTAACAAGAGGTTGAATTGTTGAAGGTGGATAGTGCTGACAAAACTATTGCAAACGGTTGACTTTACACCCAAAAGTTAGAGGGAGATTGAGTCCAAAACTAACTCTCAAGCAAGCGGTTTAAGGAGTGGACTAGGCACAAATTGTGACCGAACCACTATAAATCCTTGTGTTTGATTTTTCTCTTCGCTTAACTTTTAATTTATGCACTTTAAATTAGTTATTTGCAATTGCTTGTGATTGTTCATTGTTTTGTTTTTGAAAGTTCCATAAAGTTTTTGAAAACCCAATTCACCCATCTTTTGGCTTGCCATTTGGGCCAACAAATTTAAATTTTGCATTAATTGCTAAAAATTTTAAAAATAATTGGCCAAAAATTAATGTAACACCTACATACACTAGTGTAAGTTTTTGGTAAATTTGCAAGTTTCACATTCAATGAGAGCCAAGGATACTCAAACAAGAAATCCACTTTTGATTAACCATCAAGAACAAGTGCAAATTTAAGGAGCATATGGGTTTTATCTATGTCAACCTCAACATAGACCTAAGCATGATTGATATAAGTACGCTACTCCATAGCTTAGGCTTGTAGGAGTGTATAAGGACATGGGCACTCCCCACATCTTAACTCAAATTGGCATCTTCGTGGTTTTCACTCCAGACAGTCGAATATTGGGTTACTATTGTGGCAAATATTGGTTTTTATGATTAACATGCCATGGAACTTTTGAATTCAAGACCCAAATCCTACTTACTGAATCAAGGGTCTAAAACAAGAAAGTATTATAGCGCATTCCAGTTAGTGAAATCTTTCCTTTCTTACCCTAGAGTTTGTTGATGATATACACTGTCACAGTAATTCAGTGAAGACCCTCCTAGAAAATCCCCTACTTGACAATCTTCCCAAGATTTAATGCCCTCTTTGTAAATAGAGTTGGGGGTTTCATAAATAACTTACCATCTCTCAATTCAAGGGGAAAATAAGAAAGAGATGCTTTACCCAAATCACTAGTAAAAGAGCTTTTCCTTGTATCGTTGGCAATGGCATCTGCCCTGGTTTATATAACTAGAGTCACCATTAAATCTGTTGCAAGTGTTCTCGTTGGAGTTGAGTTAGTCAGCAACAAGGTCTCTAAGATACTCTGAACTTCAGCTTGCAACTTATCTTACAAACTTTTCAGCTTATCTTACACCGAAGTTTATTATTGAAAAAAATATATTGAGAATGAGAGTATTGGATCCACAACAATCAGAGTGGATTCTAGCATTGAATATAGAAGGACCATTGTAATCGAATGCATTTTGGGCCTTGTAATGGATTCCCTCATCCGTGGTTTCATGTTGTAGGGATCAATCTTTTCATTTCGGCTCATGGGACAGAACACGTGCTATGCGGTTGCTTCAAAAGCTCTAAGGGTCATGACTCGTACAGGTATGGCAAGTGTCCCTACTTGCCAATTCGTTCATGACCAGCGGTCTTTGAATTTGCAATGTACAAGAATTAATACATTAT